GGAAGTAAGGCACGAGGAGTTACGTCTCCTCTTTGTCACTGGATTGTACATTTTGGCAAATGTTGATCACGTCGGTGGGACAAGACTGTGTGGTATTGCCTTCGGGTTTCAAGTATTTGAAATAGTGTTTTGTATGCAGGCATTCTTTGTGTTGGAATATTGGACTCGGAATCTGCTCTTATCGTAGGATTCAGTAAGCAGCACTGAGACCTTAAATTTTTTTTTCTTTAGTACTATCTTTTTTAATGATAGTGAAATAGCGAATCAAAATAAACATCATCTTCAAGGGGGTTCAGAATATTAAAATCTTATTTTTCAACAAACAGCCCTACCTGTTTCACAGTAAGAGCTCATCAAACAAGTTAATCGCTTATTGGTGGCTGGGGGGGATAAACTGAAGGGCTTCTTTAAGTGTTTTTTCCCCTCTTACTGTTGGAAAACACCTTAGGAGAAGCTTTGGAATTCACTGGATTATTTTAGCATCTTAAAAGTCTGCATTTGTTGCACAGATTTTTGCAAGTTGTGTGTTGTGCTAATCTTTACCACCTGACACATGAAGAAAAAGGGAGTAAAAAAAAATCTAGTATTTCAACATGAATGAAGCAAGGATTTTTGTAAATCGCTTTCAAGGTAACAGCATCAAAACCAACTTCTTGAGAGCAGAGGCAGCATACTCTGTTCAGATGTTTGTGTGCGGCACCTGAAGGTCTGCTTGCTCATTATTAGTTAATATTTTCTAAAATCTTCATGTGTTAAGCCTTCAGGATATTTATAGCGATTCTTTTCACATTGTAGGGCACTAACAGTAAAGAAATTCAAGGTCTTTAGCATATAGCATTGCTAGAATGTTCCCTAAGAGGAAGCTTTAAAAAAAAAAGTCTCATTTATTTATTGGTCAGTTTCCTTGTGTCCAAGATCAATGTATCCTAATTTACAAGAATTGCTTAAAAATCACTAAGTCAAGAAATTTGAGCCTTGCTTGTTTGCACTGTTTCTGTACAGTATGTACTATCTAGTATATAGTTACTTTTTTTAGTTGGACTTTGTGGTTTATTTTTAGCCTATGTTAAGTTCTCTTAGCTAATGTGTGCTGGGGCTTTTTATGACAAAGGCAAGAAGGGCTCTGAACTGGTAAGGCTTCCTCTGTGCTGCTTTGCATTTACGTGCCTGTGGTGACACAGGTAAAAACTTGTTGTAAGACCTTTGGACTTGATTAATAAAATATCGAGATTTTGTTTTTTAATGGCAATTCCAAAGTTCTTTGACACAGGGGAAGAAAATATCCTGAGAAGTATGAAAGCTATGAGATTTCATTTGTGTTGGCCAAGAGCATGCTGAGAAAAAGGCACAGAGCACGATCCAGAGGTGGTTTCTGTTCAGTGAAGATCTTTAATCTACCTTCTGAGGAAAATAAGGCTTATACCTTTGCTTCTTCTAACTTCCTACTTCCATATTTTTTTGAATCAATTGGTCAGTTTCAGACAAATGTTAAAGAAGAGCATTTCTTATCAGTTGTGTGAAAATTGGCAGCTGGATGGGAGAACCATAAACGGATGTACCTGCTCAAGAAAATGTTAACATGAGCTCGGTAATAACTGGTCCTGTTTGGTGAGCTGGCTTACCAGTCAGTGTGAGGGTGGGTGGAAACTGCTAGAGCACTGTGCTACTGCTTGCTCAGCAAGTAGCTGAGGGCAAGAAAAAGGCTGTGTAGGTACTCCTGAAGAGTTGGGCCTGGAGTTGTGGAATGAGAAGATAAAGGCCAAAGTGGATGAAGGCAAACTGTTGTGGGAATATAGGAACTGGGTGTGTGCACTGTGGTCTGCTATGGAGTTACTGGTTCTGCTGCAATCTACCTGACCAAAGAACCCGCAATTTTGTGAGCTGCAGGTGGTCATACGTGGAGAATCTGTGCAGAATTCATCTCTTCTGTCATTTTGATCTAAATTTCCCAGATTTTATACTGACAGCCTTAGTTGTTCATAGGTTTACTTTTTATAGTGAAATGTAAGACCCTGCAAATCAAAGTGCAATGAACTTTCATTGTGAAACCTCTGCAAATTCACTTGAAGGATAGGAGAACCAAACCCTAACAAAAAATGTGCTAAAGGACTGGCTGCTGTAATAATTCTATTTCATGAGGGTAGCATGACTCATACTGCTTAATGTTCCTATCTCAGTATTCAGTTTATTTTTAAGTAGTACAGTGAGCTGTACAAATAGTGTTTTTCTGTGCCAGTTGTTGCTATGACTTCATAATATTTCCCTAAATACGCTTGCTCATACTTTCTCACAGCGTAGTATTTGGCATATAAAAACCTTAAATCCGTCAGAATTTCCTGAGTGCTGATCATTTTCATGCTTTTATGGAAAAAAGGATAGCTCTGTGTATTATGTAGTTTTAGTTGAGGAGGAATAAAAGTTTTTAAAAGTCCTTACAACCTGTTCTCTCACTGAAGAAAATGTTCCTCTGTTTAAGCTTTTCCAATTTTTCCATGTAGCTTTTTGGATTAAATTTCCAGTACTGGTATAGTTTAGGCTATTTTGTTAAAGGTAAGTGGACACTGTATTATTCTTCAGAACACTTTCGCTGTCTTTTTGTAATTGGAGGGGGAAAATACTACTTGTGTGGTTTTGGGGGGGATGGGTGACTTGTTGAAACTTTCCTTTAGGTTTATACTTTTGCATAAGGGTTTCTTTTTCCAAGACTCTGAACTCTACAAGTTGTCTAGCTGATCTCTTCCAAACAGCAGTAAAGACTTTGGTTGAAAGATCTTGGTGTACTGTAGAAAACCAGCTATAACCCTTCCTGAGAACCTGTGGAATCTTGTTCCTTCCCTTGTTCTGCATGGCATACCTGGGCTGCATGCTTTGATTCAGTTGCTTGCTTGGTTTCAGGGTAATGTGAGCATTAGTGCTGCCTTAATGGAAAAAAGGCAAGAGGGCACAAACAGTTAACAGAATCTAGCTAGCAATGTTTATTGATCTAACAAGCTGTCTTTAAACTCTAGGTCTGCCTTTGATCAGGTGAAATAATACCAGAAATTATGCTTAAAGATACCACTGCATAACGTTATATTTTTGTAAAACCTTTAAAACAAACTCTTGGAAAAAGCTGTTTAATGTCAAACTGTTCTTTTGAGTTTATCCAACTAGTTGCAAGTTTATTGCATTTTTGCTTCCTCCTTGTGCTGCTTATGGCTATCTAAGAAAGGCTATCAGGAAATATAAATGCTTACAAATAAGATCTTTGCTTATCTTGATGTGTTGTAAGAATTGCAAGAGCCAAAACTGATCTGGAAGGAACACCTTCCATGTAAAGGTGTGCTGTTAAGAAACTGATAATTGAATAGTGTTTTAACACACTTTCCCTCTTGGTTCAGTAAAAGCACAGGTGGAAAAGTGGGGGGTTTAGTATTTATTAATAACATAACAAGTTGAAGATTGTTACACTAACATGCAAAAATACCTCGTCTCAATATATCATCTTCCTTTTTAGTTGTTGTCATTTTGCAGAACCCTTCCTGTATTTTTGGCTACCTTGCCAAAATAAAAATCTAACAATTGATGTTTCTGTTGCAGCTTTCAGTTCTGTATTCAGTGTTAAGGTTATTTAAGCTTTCTGTGAATTGGATTATGGAAATGAATTGGATGAAAGACTGTTCAGGAGAAACAGCTTTCTCTTCCCAGCCAGAGCAGCTCTTTGTTCCGTTTGTGCTGTGACTGTCCAAACAACTGTTTTTGTTTCAGTAGCTAGTTTTTGTTAGAAACAAATGGCGTATGCCTACCCTTATGGCACGGTTATGTTCAGAGTGTCCAAGAAATGCAAATTTATGTTGAATTCTGCTTGGAGGCTTTCAGTTCCATTTCTCTCAGCAGCATGTCATAACTGCTAGGTTGCAAGGTAGGCCAGGTTTATAGGCGTTTTCGACTCTTTCTTTTGAAGTGGCCCTATTGCATTAAGGGGAAGGAAGATTAATAGGGCAAAAAAGAGAAAGGGAGCTTCACCTTATAGTCTACTGATAAAGGTATTCATCCCAGAAGAGGGTAAAATCTGTTTACCTGTATGTAGCCCTGGCAGTAGTTTTAGGCAGACTTGACAGAATTCCTGAAGAGGAGAACTTGATGAAGTATCTGTAGAGATTAGGCAGGGATTTGCATCTGTGAGTTGTGGGAGGGAGCTGTTTCCTTCCTCTCCTACCTCTGGGTCTCCACCCTGCAAACTGCAGTTGTGGATATAAGTGCCTGAATTTTTGCCTCAGCACTGGGTTTGATCCTTACCTTAAATGTTAGCTTAGGGTAACCCTAATTTTTTTTATACACAGTGTTTTATAAACAGTCAGCTCCTTTGATGAGGATAGGTCATGTTTTTCTTCCATGCAGCTGTGTCTATATAAGTGAGAATGCCTGAACTGTTAATTACTTGCTTCTAATAAAGTTCAGAATTTGCAGTTGATTTTTTTTTTTTCCCTGTTTGCTCTTGTAAAAGAAAACAATTAAATAGTATGGTAACATGTCACATAAAATGCAGTAAAACTAGGTGTGGGAGTTTCAACTTCTAGGGAAAGTCATTGTCAGCTTCAAGGAGACCTTCTGTCATGGAGCCAATGACCTTTTACTTGGTATGCGTGGAACAGTAGATATCTGCATCACACTATCATTTAGAATCTATTACTGCTTTAAAATGCACAAGAGTAGTGGCAAGAAAATAACAAGCAGCTCAGGTAGTTACTAGGCCAGTAAGAGATCTATTTGCAGGTGGCTGGGCGAGATAACTGGGGCTGTCTGAATATCATAAACTGTATTAAGACTTTTGGGAAGGAGACTGGTCTTGTCTCCTGTGTTTGACTTATGTAGCTGCAATGCTCTTCATGTTGGTTTTGCTTTACGTTTTTGCTGAGGGAGCTCTGTTTTGCATTTGTGGCTGCCTTTCATTTTCAAGAGATGATTTGAATCTAAAATTCTTACAGAAGTGAAACTTCTCCCTTCTGAGAAGAAGACATTTGTTTTTCTTTAAATCAGCAAGTGGTTTTGGCCTTAAATATTTTCAGTGGGTTTCATGATATAATAGATTTCCAGTGAGGAAGGAATAAGAAGCAATGCAGGTTATTGTATCAGTAACAAAGGTCAGTTGATTGTCTCCTATGGAATGCTTTGAAGTGGAATACTTACTGAGTAAGCATCATGCTGCTCAGTCTTTTCTTTTGGTTGTAATAAGAAATTTTATGATAAAATAAATTCAAGAGTTCAGTGAAATTTGATATAGGCAGATGGATTGAACATTTTTTGGACAACAAATATAATGATAAGAGCCAAGAACTTTCTGTGGTGGAATAGCGTTCTGTTGCTAAACAGACTTGCTTACGTGCCCTCTGTGGTTACCTCTTGGTTTTATTTGTCATCTCTAGATACCAAAGAATTGAAGGATGTTACTTAACTTCATTTCTCTTCTGATAACTGTTTTTCATTATTAATGCTCAGAAAATATTTTTTTGTATCTTTTTACAGGTTCTGAAGGTGTTTAATCCCTGAATACTTACAAGTTCTTCATATATAGAAATGTCTGGCTCATATGATGATTCCGTTGGAGTAGAAGTTTCTAGTGATAGCTTCTGGGAGGTAACCTGAATGTTTTATCACAATATTTTTATTTTTTACTCTTATTGTAGAAAATCTGATTTTTGTACATTGTAAACGTGGAGAGAGCTGAAAAACAAGATGCCTTTGATTATTGTGATCTGCAGAAATAGCCTTCAAGGTAGAAATGACCTTTTAGATTTTGGCCTAGTTCTGTCAACAGTTTTTAATTGGCACAGACTTGAGGATCATCCATTTGGGTAGGAGATGCAATTCAGAATTGAACCTTTGTCAGTTTTTATTGCTAAAGAGGGGGGTGGTTGGGTTGCTTTTAAAATTACCAAGGGGGCTGAGGGGGATCAATGTTAAATCTAAAGTAACTGGTTAAAGGCTATTGTAAGTGCACATAAATTACAAATCTAAGATAGTGTGTGAATGTACTGCATGACTCCTGTTTGTGTCTAGATAAAGTACAAACTTTTTTGAGAGAAGTTATCTTATATTTATCTCACTGTAAGAGCATACATGCAGGAAGATAACACAAAGCACATTGTAATATCAGTAATTTGTGCTGCCCGAATCTGAAAAAGGCTTTCCGATGTTATGATAATTTTATTAAGCTATAAAGAGAACAAACTTCATAAAGCAGAAAGCATTTTACAAAAAAAAGTTTCTTGCAAGAAAAAGAAAGTTTCACAGTGTCAGTACTGACATAATTAGAGGTAAGTATGCGATCCAGATGAACTGTATTCAGTGGGGCAAATTTCTGCCATGTGACTAGGAGTTCTTTTGCGTTTGGACTGTAGCAGACATGAAAATGGGTAGGGGTAGAATGTCTGAATATTTATGTTACCAGAGACTATGTAAGACGACAGCTTGGTTTTGGTGACTGAACATTGTGCTTCCTTTTAAGTGAAAGCTTTTCTAGACCACTAACCTGTGGTGGTGGGGGGGGTGAGGGCGTGTTGCATTTTGACACAGCTCTCCCATTATTTTTCAATACATTAGCTGAAAGACCTAATGCCAGTGAGATTCTCATTTAGTAGACAGCTATCATTTTTTGAGGAGATGTATTTACTATGATATTGTCTACCCTATTTATAAAGAGGTGGTTTTAAAATTACTGGATTCTCAGTCTTAACCCTTTTAGTTGCAGGGGTACTCTGTAGTATGACTGCAGAGAGGATACGGGACCTCTACTCTTGGAGGTGTCTTAAAACCCAACTGGACGTGGTCCTAAGCAACCTGGTCTATTAGACCTGCTCTGAGCAGGGAGTTGGACTAGATGATCTCCAGAGGTTCCTTCCAACCTCAATTAGTCTGTGTTTTTTATATAATGCTGAGGCAACTTTCTGGGCAGGCTTCCTTGGTAGAAGGGTTTCAAAATAAAATGAGGCAGTCAGGAAAAAAGAATCCTGGACCAAAGGGGATTTTTTTAATGTGTGTTGGGCATCCTATACTTTGCAGGAAAACATGACTTCTGGCTAGCTATTCTGTACCAAGCTGTTGTCTTCCATCAAGTAATGTGTCTGGAAGCATAAAAAAATGAATGAATGAGAATGGGAATTCTGTACACTAGTATGATTGTTTGGACAAATGTGAACTCAAGTATTTAATATTGAAGGATGATAGATGATCAGAAATGGCAGTTGGGCTAAGCTAGGACCTATACAAAGCATAGCTTAAATGTATTTGACACTTATTATAGGTGGGTTAAAGGTGTTCTTTGTGTTTGTGCTATTGGTGACTTATTTTATAATATTTTGCAAACACTACTACTTAATCTGTTTCTTTTCTATGTATTCCTTCCAAAAGGTAAGAACTGTGATCTGTTATCATAAGCAATGTTAATAGGCTAATGTGCAATGCATGAGTATATTTATCCTTGGATAAAAAAAGTTAGACTTTGGTGTTGCAATCAGTTTCTTTCTTTACAGGATTAGTTCTTTTCTCTGCTCTTTCTCTTTTTTGATGTATAACCACAAAGGTTATGTTAAAATGGTCAGGAGGAAAAATTTCAGATTGAATTATTAGGTTTGGGTTTTTTTCTGAAACTTGGAGTAAAACAGTCTGGAAAAGTAATACGTTCTGAGAGTTGACAAGTGCTGACTAGAACAGGTATGCAAGTTGTTCAAAGGGGAAAACTAGCATTGTTTAGATAAATTAATTAATAATATGCTAAAATCAGTTAAAAGTAATCTCTAAAACTGAAGATGCAATTATATTCTCATGAAGTGTGTTCAGTTCATTAAAAATTCTAGAGGCCATCTTCACAATCACCCTTCAAGGGAGCGAAATAGAAGTTTGGCTACAATAGAAAATTAATCCCGATGATAAATCAATGGCTTTGTTAATGAAGTGACTTCAAGGATGTCCAAAGTATTAACAGTTTTTTCTGAAAACAGAATTGGATTTTCCATGCAATTGATGACCATATTAAAAAAAAAAAATAAATCTTGTATTTCCTCGTACTAAGCTTTTGATGGTTTAGCAATATAAAAAGGAATATTTCACTGAATTTTGGACTTTTGAGTACTGAATTATGTAGGAAACTTTACTTTTTTGCTGTTCCTCTGCTTTGTGCTGTTTGATTCTTGGGACAGACAAGTTTAGGGGTTTTGTGGCTTCACCTTTTGTGGAGGCCCCATTCCTGGAAACATTCAAGACCGGGTCGGACAGGGCTCTGAGCAACCTGGTCTAGTTAGTGGTGTCCCTGCTCACTGCAGGGGAGGTTGGACTAGATGACCTCTAGGGGTCCCTTCCAACCCAAAACATTCTATGATTCTATAAAAACTATTAATAGATGGTTGTGTTCTTAGTATGGATGCAAAGACTTTTTGTTGTTTTAGCAAAGTGACTAAAGGCTTGAAATTTCAATATATTGGTATTTGAGTGAAAGAGAGGGGAGGTGGTAAAATTTCTATAGTTGATTAGTGCTTAAAATATCACCACTGACGTTTGTGTTGTGGTTAAAAAAAAAAAAAAGCAAAAACCAACAAGGAATAGGCTAGTTTGATAGATATAGCAGCTTATCATAAAGTGCTGTATGTATAGCTGAACGACTGTGGTAGGTATGCCTAAATGTTTATGTAACTGCATGGAGAGTTGAAAAATGTGTGGCATGACATCCCTGGCATTCTGCAAAGATGGAACTTTTATGGATACACTAAGATGCTTTGAACTAAAAATGAAAAAGAGTACTCCGATATAAATGATAAACAATTTTATAGTAATGCTGAACTGTTAACAGGAAGGATTGACATGGTAGCAAATTTTGACCTTCACGCATGCTGCACTTGGTAAATTTACAGAGTCAATGTAGTCCGAGTTTACAACATGCTTACAAAGCTATCTTAAGGAAAGCATTTATATATATATATAAATAACTTCTCTCTCAATGAAGATAGCTGAGAGAATTTATTAACCAAAGAAATCCCTTTTTCTTTGCACTCCAGTACTTATCATAGGATGACTCCTTATTACTGGTTATTAAACTATTCAGAAGACCAGTAGTCTTGGCAATACCCTATTATGGTGAGAAATGTGAATAATGTGGGACTGATGTTTTGGTTGACAGCCTTTACAGTTGCATGTAGCATGATGTGGCAGGGAAGGTGGGGTTTGAACAAAACGCTTGGACTAAAGTACAACATAAGGGAAAGTGTTAAAGTGCCTAAAGTTGTGCTGTCCACTACATTGTAGCCTTGATACAGGATATTGTGAGTGATTGCTTTTAATCCAGGAATAGTTTTCTTGTGACCTCTGCACTCTACTACTGTGCAAGTCTGTGAGGGTTACCACATTTTGACGTGTATGCCTGACGCTAGCCTGCAATGTAATTTAGTTTGTATATACTTCTGATTATTTGTTTGAGTGAAAAATTAAGGTATCCAGCAGTTTGCTTCGGCAAAGTAATGCCTTGGCAGAATGTACTATTTTACTTTAAACTTTGCCTTTCTGTGGAGAAGCTTGACAAAACAGTAAGACCTGAATTATCCTTTAGATCGAGAGTTAAGAGGGGGGAGGAGGTTTGCCAGGCTTCTGCTATTGGTAGAACACGAACTTAAAGGAAGTCCTGTGCAAGTGTTAATAAATTTAACTTAAGAATAATGCTTCAGTGTTAAGTGACATGCAGAAATTAACAGCAGGCATGTCAAACTTCATTATCAAACTCTTGTTTAAGTACTTCTGGTTTGGAGCCATCTTTCCAAACGAAATTTGACTGAATTTTAGTCTAAAACTTGTCCTTTTTTCCTTATGTTCTGAATCGTTGTTTTGTTTCTGAAGATTACAACTTTGAATTCTAGTCTTAATCTTTCTCAAATTGGGTAACTAAACTGCTTTGACCAATGTGTTTTGTCTAACTTGATTAGAAAAGATGTGATGTCTCTGGAATGCCAGCCTCAGTACTTCATGCCTCAGGTAACAAGTAAAGAACTCTTAATCAATTTGGAAGTCGTATTGTTACTATAGATTTTGTAATTTGCACCCTTTCATTAGAGGTTTTTAAGATATTTGACAGGATAGGTTTTTTCTTTGTTTTTAAAGACAGACTGCAGTTTGTTAAAAGCCACCTTGCTATGTTTTACTGCCACAGCTGAAAGCAGTGAATGTATTTAAACCTGGCCATGGCACAGAAGAGACAGTCTGGCAGGGTGAGTCTTTGAGTTTGTTCCCTTGCACTCCAAAATAGCTCAAATTTATTTACCTTTGGAGTGTTCTGCAAAGCCCAGAACTTATTGTGAAAACTGTTTTTTGCTCACTGCATATCTTTGAAACGAAACCACTTGTATTTCTTGAACATTGATGTTCTGTTGAGTTAATAATAAGAACTGTACTTAAAATGTTGATAAACCAACTTCAAAGTTTTTGCCATTGCTGTTGACAGAAATTTCATATAATGTTGACTTTAGGAAATAAAACACTTGGTTCTTAATCAGTTTTCTGGCTCTAGAAGCATTTGCTTTCTTTTGGAGTTGTCACTGCCTTTGCTAGTGATCCTTATTATAAAGTTTATTAATAGCAGTTTGATCACATTTAAT